CATCAATTTGTTTTAGAGATTAATAAAAAATAGGGTTAGAGGAGAAGGAAGATAGATTCGACTTCTTCTTCTCTTACCTCTTCTCTTCGACATACACGGCTCTTGCACTATCATTCAGATCTGATTTGTACTGTTAATCACTGATTTTAAACCTGATATTAGAGGACTGATTCACATCTAAATCAACATTGYATGGATATTTCAGTCAAGTTTTATACAATGGTATTATAAAAAAATTAAGTTGAAATATTAATACGTGTATTTGGGGGAACCCTGTTCCTCCAAAGGTGGAAGCTTTTGAATTTTGATTGGCTGCTAGCTTTGGTTAGTATTGTAAAATTGGATAATTTAAAGAAGAGAGGGAATTTAAGATGGGAAGTATATCTTATTTATGTCATTACAGTGAGGAGAATGTGCCTCATTTATTCATCAAGTGCAAGACAGTGGCCAAGGATTCATGACAACAAGAAGGCCAGCATATTTTGAAGCTGCATTCCTTCGCTATTTCTTGGGGATTATGGAAGGAGAGAAATAAAAGATGTTTCAATGATAAATCCAGGAGCATGAACACGTTATGTTCAAACACAGGAAAGTAATTGTAGATCAGGAGATCAGGTACTGATTCATCCAAAATGTGTGGGTTTTAATAGGTGTGACTCGGGCAAGGTCTAAAGATGTTTCAATGATAAATCCAGTGTATTGGTCTGTACTATCGGGTGATTTATTTATCTTTTTATTTTTTTCCAAACCTGTTCCGGGGGGGGGAGGGGGGGGATAAGGCCTGTCTACCCCCTGAAACAGGTCAACACCTGAAACCAAGCTTAAAATGGCATATCAGTAGGTCACCAATACAATACATATCAGCCAATATGTTGCGAAATTTCAATCCTGGGATTTGGGATCAAAGTTTTGGGAGACCATTGGATGGATGAAAACTGTATCCCAAATTATTTTAGTCAGTTGCACCTACAGTATTTTAAAAGGAAATACAAGATTGTTCATGGATAAATCCAGGAATATGGACAATCTAAGTGCAGGCATAGGAAAGATGATTGACAATTGGGTACTGATCCATCCATTGGGTGTGTGAATATCCTAAACGATTTCCTAAAAAAATATATCCTAAATGATTTCAGTCAATTATATCTCGTCTGGGTGATAACTCATTACCCTCCCTCTAATGTAATTTACTTTTTTTTATTTACTATCAAAAATAAAGAACTTCATCACAAATTGTCTGCATATAAACCTTTCGTTTTAATATTTTCATTCTTACACTAAGGCTCTAGCCTTGCTATCTGATGTGATGATGTAATGACCATGAGTAATCACAGTCTCCCCCCATCCAACCAATAACCATTTGAACTCAATCACCACTTTCTCAAACCCAATTGAGAATACTAATCTACTCAGCATGTAATGGAACCCAGATGCACAACAAGAACATAATACCCTGATACACAATGAAGTTCCGCTGACACCAAATGGGGGCTGAATTCCCAAGAGAACAACCATCAAAATCCACCTCATCTATGAGTCAGAACGTTGGCATCTTCTAAACACAGAAACCAGGAGACACAATTATAAACAGAGATGGTCAGTTTCATCTTTTGCAGTCCTCCATGATTCGCCATTTTTGAGAACTGACTCAATGGTCTACCTGTAATTCCAGGATGTCCAACTAAGGATTTGGGATCCAGACACAAGCTCACACAAAGAGACATGGCAACTCAGGAGTCCAAGAAAGAAGGAGGTGTCCATGAAAACACTAGATCAAAAATCCTCACCAGACAAAGATATACCTATTTTTCAATGCATAGTGAAATAAACCACTAGTAGCAAACTAGCAATAACAAATAAGCTTCTGCCTCCCAACCATAAGCATACCTTACCAAGCTTTTCTTATCATCAGCTGTAAGAAACCCCCATTCCCTTATCGCTGCATCTCGAATAGCTGCAGCAGCCTGAAACCTTGCATTTGGCACCTGAGAATTTTCTGGACAAGTACAACCATTATATATCAATAAATTAATCCTGAAAATAATACATGAAAATACACCAATAACTTGGAAGATAAATATGTTGCATATATGAACATGTCATATAGTTTGTTTTATCATCCATGCAGTTATAAATTTTGCAAATTCTTCCGCTATAATTTCATAATATACATCTCCATTTGTATTTCAATATTAAAACAGTATTAAAGTTAATAAGGAGTTCACTTTTTTTCACAGATAAAGGTATAATGTTGATGAGCCCTAAAAAAAGAGGGAAGAAGAATATAACAGGGGGAAAAAAGAAGAAAAAAAAAGTGAGAAATGTAAATATATTCTGAATTGTATGTTTTTTGTGATAGGATCCCAAGTTGTCTTCTGTGGCTTTGTAGCCAATTTGGGTATAGAGATATTTTCATCATTTCGTAATTTGGTTTCTGGCCAAGAGCAGTTTGGGTGCACCACAGTGGTTTTGGTCACTTGGGTGTTTTTGTAACTAAGTTATCTTTTGGGAGTTGTTTGAAGTTATGTATGTTCTTAAGGGGCTATTTGTGAAGGGAGAACATTCTAGGGGCTTATGTGTGAATTAGTTGGCTTCTCCACCAAGCCATTGAGTTTCATAAAAGAGAAGAGGACTGTTTTTGGAGGTCTTTTTGTTTTTAATTCTCTTTTTTATTGGAGCTGTAGCTCACCCCAAGCTAGGGTTTTCTTGGAATTTGAGGAATCGACTCATAACCCATTTGGCACCTTCCAATCCCTCTATCGTTGCATATCCGCACGAGAGGCCAGCTTGACGCCACAGTTCAAAGGGGAGTTCTACTTCAGGTTTACTTCTGAAATCTCTAAGAATCCAGTTTGCTTTTATTGTTTTCAACTTTGTATTGCTGTGTTTATTGTTGTTCAATTGAAGTGTTGCATATAGCATCAAGTGATATCACAGAAAGTTGTTTCCTTGGGTTCACTTCAAAGTTCATCTTCTTGTTTTATCTTGTTTATATTATTATGGCTGCTAGGGATGAGTGTGGTAGAGGTGGTAGAAGACCATAACATGTCACTATAGAGGTATTCCAAGAGGATGCATGAGAGTTGCAAGAACAGATTGAATGTCTTGATGAACTCGTACCCCAAAATACTGCTAAAGATGATGATGTAGCAGGTGATTTGGGGCTAGGAAGGAGTAGACAAGCTGCTAGAGTTGATGAACAGCCCATTGACATTGTTAGTGAAATTCTTACCATCGGGTTTTTTTCATAGGCAACACAGAAATCATTCATTCATTAAAACTTTAAGAAAAAAAGGACTACAACAAGAAGTTGTGAGAAACTAGCAAACCCATTACAAAACAAGCCACCCAGTTCTATATTACAATTGTGCCCAGTACATGTGTTGTCTTTGAACCCCTTGCCTAGCTAAACCATCTGCCAAAGCTTACCATAGGATTTTGAGCAAACTCTTTACGAAAAAAGTGCAGAATTTAAGGCAGCGGGAGAAAAGTGTAAAAGTATACAGAAACGAGCTCAATAGACTAACTCTTCAGAGCAATATGATAGAAACGGAAAAGCAAGAGGCTAGATAGATACATCAACGGCTTGAGGTTGCATATCAGCTAGCATTGAAGGTCAAAACTCAATTGAGTCAAAGCTCAGGACGAAAACTATGTGTTGTCAAAGGTGCATCCTCATCAATAAGTGAAAGTGCTGGGACTGTAAAGGAACGTGTGACCAATCAAACACAACCTACAGCTCAAGGAACCTCAAATGTACCAAAGAACAGCCAAGGGCTGGCTATTATTCAATGTTTCGGGTGTATGGAGTTGGGACATCGTTCTAATTAATGTCCTAAGAGGAGGATTGAAGGGTAAAACACATTTGATTGATGTAGAGAGATGTGATGAAGTATTTTTTTTTCTCAGCTTTGGTTGATGAAGTTATTGATGAACAGTAAGATACTAAGATGATATAGGTCATATTGAGAAAGGACAAGTGACTGAAATTACTAAAGCTACTGCCTTAGAGGAAGAAAATTTGAAAGGAGATGTTGAGGGTGAAGCGCTAGTGATACAGCACTCCACGGTTGCACCTCAAGAACCACTACACGAGGACTAGTTAAAGAAGAATATCTTTAGAACCGTCATACAACTAATAGGAAGTTGTGCAACCTAATCACTGACAGTGAAGGTGAGAGAATCTTGTATCTCAATACATGTTGGACAAGTTGCAGCTCAAGATTGTTGAACATCCTTGACCATATCGCACTCCATGGTTCAACAAAGGAAACGAAGTAAGAGCTTCTTCTAAATGTCTTGTTAATTTCTCTATTGGTAACATATTTGAAGAATCAATTTGGTGTGATGTTGTCCCAATAGATGCATGCCATGTTCTTTCGGGATGCCCATAGCAAATATAAAGTAATTATGGGGACAAGAATACATATAACTTTGTAAAAGACAATAAGAAGAGAACTCTTAAACTAATGCAGCTCAATTCCTTTTCAAAGAAAGAAAGTAAGCCAACCATTACCCTCTTCACCTCAAATAAATTGGTTCAGGAAGCCAAATAGGATAGCATAGTAAAGGACCATTAGAAACTTGCAAGAAGTGAAGAAACACTTAGAGAGAACTTTGTTGAATACAAAATGAAGTCAAATGGAGAGGTACAAGGACTAGTAACAACTAGTAAGGCTGAAAATACAAAGGAGGGAACCATGGATTGGAATAGCAATGTCAAGGACCACTCTGTTCCCCTTGTAATAGAGATCTATGAAAAATGCAAGGTTCAAGCTTCATTTATCATACAAATATCTGGAGATCTTGGAAATGATAGTACAAAAAAGAGCTTTGAGAAGCAGATTGCAAAGGAAGATGACACCGTTGAAGATACCTCCAACATATCCACTGAAAAAGAAAAATTTTAAGACAAGGAAGACATCATTGAAATGCAATCAGAAGATTTGGGAAAGGAGATCTCAAAGGAATAGCGGAATCCAGGAGAAGTTGTTTCAGTCTTTCAGATAAGAAACTTCAACATGCCTCTGAACCAGTGGCTCAAGATCAAAGTCATATTACATCCCCAAAAACAAAAGAGACCATAATTTAGAAAGGTGCTATGGTTGCCAAGGACCATGATACTACATCTATTGAAGGTCAAATAGCTACCCGTAGATTTCAAGGAAATGAAAAATAAAGCAATAATAAAGAAGAAAAAGTACCCACATTGGAGACAAAGACATGTGTAAGCTACTAATTTGGTTACTAGTCAAGGCCCAAGGGTATGCATCACTATTGGTTTTGGTCCCTTGGGTGTTTTTGTAACTAAATTATCTTTTCGGGGGGTTGTTTGATGTTATGTTTGTTCTTAAAGAGCTATTTGAGAAGGGGGCAAGGTTCAAAGTATTGAAAAGATACACCCAATACGGGGCCCATCGTATTGTATCTCTGAACCTCAATACACCTTTTTACAGGTGTTTTTTTCAAAACCCTTTTTATTTTAAATAACCTATATATAATTACACTTGAATCTCAATTTAAAAAAAAAAAAAAACTAAAAAAATAGAAAGCATATCAATTAAAGTACCAATGCACCTCTGTCGATACACAGAGGCGTATCGATACTTTGAACCTTTGAAGGGGAACATTCTAGGGGCTTCTGTGCAAATACTTTAGTTGGCTTCTCTAGCAAGCCATTGAGTCTTATAAAATAGAAGGGGGATGCTACTTTGGAGGTCTTTTTGTTTTTGATTCTCTCTCTTTTATTTGAATTGTAGCTCACCCCCAGCTACTAGCTAGGTTTTTTAAGTGTTGGGAACTTGAGCTTTTAGTGCCTTCCAATCCCTCTATCGTTGTGTATACACGAGAGGCCAACTTGACGCAATTATTACTATAGCAAAACAGTTCCAAGAGGAGTTCTACTTCAAGTTCAGATCTAAAATCTATAAGAATCCAGTTTGTTTTTGTTGTTTTCAAGCTGTTTTTATTGTTGTACACTTTTTAAGTGTTGCATATAACTTGCTTGTCAACCCACATCATGTGTTATATTCAAAGAAGGGTGAGGGCCCCTCAACCCATACCTACATCAAAGCTAGGAACATATACAGAATTACATCCAAAATGTATATTAAACTGGGAAGTTTGTGTTGAAAATGATCTACTCCCAGACGTTAAAAAATGTTGAAAATTCTGGTCCATCCATCCATAACCTTGGCTCAACTGGAACGGTGAATAATAGTTCTTTCCTCTTTCCCCATTAAGTGAACCAAGGGCCCGGAAGGCACCAAATTCCAAACCAAAGTACCCCAAGGACTGAATACTTAGCTCAGCCACAAAGTTCTTTCCTCTTTCCCCATTAAGTGAACCAAGGGCCCCCGGAAGGCACCAAATTCCAAACCAAAGTACCCCAAGGACTGAATACTTTGCTCGGCCACAAAGTTAATAGACAACCTAAGTCCTAGCAATCAAACAAAAAAAAACTGCAGAGAAATATGTAATAATTCTGATTATTTTATGATGTCATCCATTAACTTCTTTAAATAGGGATGCATAAGACAATATCGTAGAAACTATTTAATTGCATGTACTTACCAAGAATGAATTGGCATGTTTGGTAACGATGAGGAGATTGACGTAATGATAAAATGGTTGCTTCAGCTACTGCAGGATTTATATGCATCTGCTAAAATAGATAAAAGCATTAGAATACTGACAATAAAATGTGTGTATCTTTAGACCCTAAGAGGGAATTAAAAAATTAAGGAAACAATAAAATGCGTGTATTTTTAGACCCTAAGAGGGAATTAAAAAACTAAGGAACCAATGTTACATATTCTGCTAGAAAGTATATGCATTATATGTGGGTGAATAGAAGGTGCCTTGGGGGGGTTGTTTTAAATCCTAAAAGAAGTAGCACCGATGTGAAGCACTTCTCAAAGCAAGTTTCAGCATTATATAGAAGCTGTGTATCTGATCATTGCTATTTAATCAGTTCATTCTAACCTTGAATTCAACACCATGACACAATATGAAAGAATACATAGAGATTGTGAGGGAAACACTAAGAGTTGGTTGAGATAAACATGCCCAAATTCTTTTTTGGGTGACTAAACGAAAGTTTAGTGATGAAAGAGATAAAAGAAAATGATATTTTGTTAAACAAATAAAAGAGGAATGGAGCAGAGTCAGCAGCCAAACCCCAATACAGAAAGATAGGCCTGCCTAGTACTATACATACAAAAAGCAATCTGCAATCCTTAACCTAAATAGTAGTACCCTAAAATAAGTTGTTCTGTGACACTCTAACAAGAGTACCAACCACTAAACCAGGAGATCCAGGAATCCAACAGAACAAGGGGTTCAGCATGGATGCCAAAGGGAATATGATAACTAAGCCTCTACAGCCTTGAGTTACCATTTTTTTCCTTTGCTGTGAGTAATAATAATTCATTAGAAAGGGAAGAAGAAAGTATACAATATGTATACGAAGGCAATGAGGAAGAAAGGAACATAATAAAACAGAACAAAAAAGAACCACAGCTTCCATAAAAAGGAGCCACACATCTAAATTTGACCCCTTTAAAAGATGTACAATTAAAATCCATCATACATCTAATGAGCCCTCAAAAAGGAGCAGATCATCCACCATTAGGGCTGTCAATGGTACTCGAGACTCTAATATCTGATCTGAGTTTCAACTTCCAATTCGATTACTTCAAACTCGAATGGCCTGAACAGAAAAGTGAATCGAACTCCGATGCTTCAAATAAGGTCATTTTTTAAGGATAAAAGGAAAAAGAATGATAACAAGAAGGTGATAAGATATCACCCGAAAGTGGGACACGACCAATGAACCCAACAAACAGACATCAAGACCTTAACAAAACCAAATATGCAACCACACCACTTAAAAACCAAAGACTTGACACTTGACAGACAGACTCAAACAAAGAACAAAAAAGCCTTGAAATGCCTGGCACAAGGCTTAATCTTCCTCCACGAACTCGTCCTCCTGGTCTGAAGCATCCTCGTTCCAAGCCTTGCCTCCTCTCCCCAACGCTTTTTTATTCAGCTTCTCTTCCCTTTTTTTTTCTCTCCAACTCCTCAAAGGCCCTCCTAGAAATCTCCTCACCACCCCAAAAAAACAAACCCAAAATTTTACCAATTGTGACCTCTTTGTCCACTAGCTTTTGAAAAGTCACGCATCTTGAAACATTATCCTTAATCTCATTACTTTGCATCTTTAGAATGTTCGAGTATCAGGGCCAATATCACTCACTTTATTATTGCCTTGAATCTCCTTCCCCAAGTGGGAGTTCGAAAGTTGATCCTTCATTGTCACCCCCTATAATCGGCTCTAGGAGTCGTAATGCCTCTCTTTCCTCTTCTCCTATAGACCCATTTGTAGTTTTTAGTAGGTCCTGCCCCCACCAAACCGAGCTTCAGCCTAGAAAAGATTTTCATTACATGCACTACATTGGGATTCTTTAAGCTGCGTGGTTTCTTGCAAGTCTCTCCATTAACCAAAGTCTTGCCCCTTCGACCCAAATCAACACCCAATCTTCCAACCTTCACCTCCTCAAAAAAAAAAAAAAAAAAAAAAAAAAAGAAAGAAAGAAAGTCGCCAACATTGCTCTCTCCCTGAGCACCAAGATGCTGCCAACAACTGTCTCCCCTATTTCTCCCAGCTTTTCTCCTTTCTCGATTTCTGCAGCAACTTCAACACCTTCATCCCCCTCTACTGACCCGCTGTTCTCAACCAAGGTGGTCTCTTCAAATACCACCAGATCTACTGATCCCAAACCATGGTTGGGTCCTTGAAATGCTGCATCCTCAACCTCATATCCATGCGAGACACAGACCATCATTGTATTTCGAATGATTTATCATTCAATCCGATTAGAATCTAAGTTTGAGGTACATTAATAAATGTATACTATCTTATACATGGATAGAGTAGCAGAGGTGGTTGTTAGTTTACCCAAAAAAACACCCCAACTTGCATTCAAAAATAATTCATTCTTTCTTTGCCATTTGTTATAAAGTCAAGGCTATAGTTGGGCATCCCAAACTCTGCCTAAACACACAGATTGAACATCCCTAACCCTACCTAAACCAATCATTCTTTATTGGTTAATGGTCAGACAAAGAGATCACTAACACTGCCTAAATCACATCATTCCAATTTATCTCCCACTCCCCATTGAAGAGGAAGTTGCCCAAGTTTTCATAAAATTTCAACCAAGTAAAGCAGGATCCAAGACCAAACCAAAGGTGGGTCATGAGATTATTCCTTCTTATGAAGTCTCCAAATCTTCTTATTGGTCCAGAAGTTCCCCATACCAGCATTAAGACTCCACCTAAACGACCATTACAAACTAATGAAATTGACTCCAAAATCTCCTGCTTCCAAAGATGAAACAGCTGACTGATCACTCTCACCACCATACCATCTACTAAATCAATTTTTTTGTGTTAGAGACAAGACACCATCTTGATACAGTGAGAGCCCTAACTCAATCTGGAAGCTCATTGCTGCAACTTCAATTTTATCCTCCACCAGATCCAATAAAGCTTTTCCTTTCTCAGGAGTTAAAAACTTAAAATGACCATCATAGTTGTCAAGGCGACACCTAGGCGACAAGGCGCCCTTTGAGGCTCGCCTCGCCTAATTGCCTAACAGTTTTCTACTTCCTACCATAAAATACTTTTTTATTCATTCTTTTTTGAGATTATAATTATAAAATAGACATTATTAAACTAAAATAATCATTTTGTGTGTTTTTATACTAATTTCTTTTTATTATTTTCTTA